GGGCCGCGCCAGCGGAGGGGGCGGCGCCGCCGGGACCCCGGGGCCACCTGCTGGCGGAGCCGGGCCACCGCCATCCCCCGGGGGCCGCCGCCGCCGCCGCCTTGCGCCCCAGCGAGGCACGGAGGCCGCGGCGCAGTGGCCGCCGCGGCCCCGGCCCGCCGAGCGCTCCCCCGGGCACACTCCCCGGCTCTGCGGGGCCTCGCTCCGCCGCCCCGGGAGGCGAGCTCGCCTTTAGAAATAAGGCAGGGATCGCCGCCCCTCGGAGAGCCGGGCGGTGCCAGGGCCAGACGCCGATTTCAGCCAACTTTTAGCAGGGGGTGAAGAACTTACCCATCAGCGCTCTGCAAGCAAACGGGGAAGAGATTTGGAGAATTTGCAGCAGGGAAGACTGTGGGATGGAGCGGACTTAGTTCTCTCCCCTCGTCCTGGGGGCTGTAGGAGGAAGTTATATGCGAGGGGAGTGCTTGGAATGGGGTTGTGGGGAGGGCGCAACGAGAGGTGAGAGGTCCAGGGGGCCTGGCTCCTGGGAAAACAGTGGTCATAGCAGGTGCAGTGGACTCTGCCACCTGACGCAGAAATACCGACATAATCGACATCCACAGACGGCCGTTGGTAGTTTTATGTAATGTTCTTCTCCGAGCAGATAAGCGTAAGCTCACTGTCGGCGCCATTTCTTAGAACATGTTTTAAGCGGGAATAGAAAAGACGTTTACCACCCGGGAACGGTAGTATGGGAACATGATCTGACCTGCTCGTAAGTGCTGCCTCCAAATCTTCGGTTTCTAGACCAAACTACAAAGGGAATAAAGGGATGGGCTGCTGCCCCAGCACCTTGGTAAGGTCAGGTTGTTCTAGAGAGGAGAGCGGGAGGGGGCCCGGGGTGTCCTGATGAATGAGATGATTCCCACTCAGAATGAGACAGTCATTCAAAAGCCACCCTGACACAGCAGTGACATTAAGAGCAGGACCGCTACCAAGGAAAGGGAATGCTGGAAGCAACCAGTGCGTACATACCTGGGAAATAAAACCAAAGAACCAGTGAGCAGCAAACCAATAGGGGGCAACCAGACAGACATAGGTGTGAAGCAAAAGATGGCAGAGTTGGTTACACCTGGCTGGCCTGGGCATGGGACTATGCGTTTTCATTCAGCTCAATAAAGCAAATCCCTTTAAGAGATGCTTCCCCCCCCCCCCTTAATGTCTACTTCCTCTGAGATCGTGTTAGAGGCTGAGGCCTTTTCCCCAGAAAAGTGTATGGGAGGAATGAAATTGTATTTGGTGAAGTTCTTAGATCTCTTTAGAATTCTAGGAGGTAGTGAAGGGATAAATATGATAATGGTTTGGGCAATTATCCCACGTGGTTATTCCCTCTTCCCCCTTTATAACCAGGATTTAAAAAACCGAAGCTGACTGGGATGCTTTTAAAGTAAGGAAACATTCTACACCCCCTTCTTGGACCCTGTTTCTCTCTCTCTCTCTCTCTCTCTCTCTCTCTCGTGTGTGTGTGTGTGTGTGTGTGTGTGTGTGTGTGTGTGTCATCCTTTGTCAAATTTTATTGCAATAGCAGAAAGGCTGAGTACTATACTGATTGAATAATGCTGAGTATTATTCATGCCTAGGAGCATGAAGATAGACTTAATTGGGCTTAAAATATGAAGTCATTGAAGGTGTCATCCCAAGAAGCAAATCCGTAGGGAAGATATTAACAAGTTATCATTTTAAGTACTAGTAGGAATGTGAACTCTACCTACTAAAGAAAATATTATTTATTTACTTAAGGCAATATTTTAAGGGAATATTTAAAATTGGTAGTAAATATTTCTTGGCCCTTTTGGCCAAACTCTTCAAAGATGGTCCATGAGTGGGTTGGTGTGCAAAGGATGTGAAACAACCTTTTTGAGAAAATGAACAAGTTGTATTTACTTTCTACTTGGTACAAAGCACTGGGGCTTTATCTAACAAGTTTATAGATCTACAGTTAGTATTAAGTAATATTAAGCTGAGAGTGTGTTGAATGAGTAGGCATCTACTTATGTTAACTTAGCAAAATACCGTAGACTGCCTGACTTAAGAAACTTGCTTTCGTATCACTGTGAGGATTACAAGCAATCCAAGATCAAGATCTGATGCAGTTTGTTTCTGGAGAAGGCTCTTTTCCTTGCTTGTAAATTGCTGTGTTTTTGCTGTATATACTCAACTGGTCTACAGGTCTCCCTTTTGTTTAAAAATATGTTTTAGATTTATTATTTTATGCTTATAAGTGTTTTGCCTGAATGTATGTGTGTGCACTGTGTTTGTGCGCTGTGTGTGTGTGCCTGATGCCCACAGAGGTCAGAAGAGGCCATTGGATCACCCAGAACTGGAGTAACAGATGGCTGTGAGCCTCCATGTGGGTGCTGGGAATCAAACTTTGGTCCTCTGCAAGAGCAACAAGTTCTCTCTCTTGCTGAGCCAGTTCTCTAGCAGCCCCCCCCTTCCTCTTATGAGGCTACAAAAATCTATGAATGACAGCCCCACCCTTTTGACTTCCTTCAACCTTAATTATTGTCAATTAAAAGCCCATTTCCATATCCAGTCATATTAGAGGTTGGGGCTTCAGCATAGGGATTTTAAGAGTCAGCAGTGTTGGTTTTGTTTGAATATAGTGTCTAGGTTGATGTATCCTGGCAAAGCCTTTAGATCTAGTAAGATCATTGCTCTGCTCAGTACTTACAAGTT